TCAAGCTGATTTAAATCAACGAACCCTGTTCTTTAGTAGTAGCAAATTGTGGGTCAAATCTGTTGATTTGTTACAAAATATGTGTATTATATTATTAAACATGTGTGCATTGTACAGCTTAACATTTTTAGTTATACAATATTTCATTTGTGTTAATTTTTTATACTCATCCTGTTGAGACTCCTGGCTACAAATTTGTTAATGTGTAGAAGAATGTTGCAGTAAAAAAAAAAATTTTTTTCGTAATTTTTTGAGACTACATGTTTTGAGATATTTCAGATCAAAGGTCATATAAGGTATCAAATGAAAGCTCTATTTTTTATCTTTGAATAGGTTTTGTAATATTTTTTTCTGATACAATTAGCGAAAAAGTTATAGCCATTTATATGTATGCAAGTTTGTCATTTTTTATGAAAATTTTATTTTTTCAAATTTCTATAATTTGGACAATTTTCAAACTAAAAATCTTAAAATTGAAGGGGGGGTCGGTCCAAAAGTGATTCATCTGACTTGAAATGACTCAAGTAGTGTCAGCCTTGAGTGAACTATTCTTTAAACAGAAATATAAATTATAAGCCAGGCTCATTAATTAACTGAATTTTTTTTTTTTTTAAATTATCATTGTTTTAACTAAAACATTTTTGAAGTAATCATTAATTCAAAAATTTACAAAGCAGTTTAATATGTTTTTAATGATGTTCAGTCTTAAAATTTATAGTAAATATATTGCTGTTTTAATGATTTTCAATTTTAAAAAATTGTATTGATGGTTGGCGTGCAATGAGTTATAGCACTATTAACATTGCATTTTAAAAGTCTTCAATTCTCTTAGATTTTTTCAGACTGTAAATGAGAAACAAAGGGAAAATTTAGTTCATTTTATTTTAGTACATGCATTTATATATCCTAAGGAATATGGATTTTTCTTTTCAAAAAAAGAAAATTCTTAATTTTATGACACAATCTTCAAAACCTTCATTTATGTAGTTTTCATTGCAGGTAGAATACTAGAAGGAAAAAAAACTTTTTTTTCTTAAAATGGAATGGTGTTTTGAGAAAAATGGATCAAATAGTGTTTTGAGGGGAGGGAAATGACATGAAATAAGTTTTATTTTCATAGATTACTTTTAAATTAGTCAATTCAATTTAAATATCCTACAGGCAATGAAAATGTATTTATTGTGAACATTGCGTCAAAATTTGAATGAAATTTATAGGAAATGTGCTAGTTAGAGATATAACAAGTAAGAGAAACATAGTTTCAAGTAAATTGCATTTAATATTTTGTAATAAATTTATAAAAGTTTGCAATTAATTAAAGATAATCTTTTCTTTAAGTGTAATTTTCGTTTCTAAGAAATGGGTTAAGTTCTGTTTAGAAATATTTGTCAACCTGCAATAAAGGTAAAGTATGAGGCAACGCTATTTATTTTTTCATTTGTAATATTAAAAGCGAAATGAATAATTTTTTAGTTGTAATTACTATACAATGTTTCTATTCAATTTCATTTCATTTGAATTGTGCATTTTCATGTTTTACTCTCAAACAATATTTAATTCTGTAATATTTTTTAAAATGTGTTATGATTATTTTTTAATAATATTTCAATTATAATAACAATTATAAAATTTAACTAATTATAATTATGAGTTTTTAAAGTGACTTTTTAAAAAGATCTGCTTAAAATCACTGTTTTGAAAAATTTAGGCTACATTAACCTTACTGATTTTTCACTTAGGTAAATTTTAAAAAAAATTACCTTAAAGTCTGTAAAGAGGCAATTAAAAGTATTATCTGAACAGTTTTGCTGTGATAATTTTCACATAGTGGAACACACATTCTTGAAATATTCCTTAAATCTTAATGTAAAAAGAAATTATGAAGCTCTTTGAGATCTTTCATCTTTTCATGCTTTTGACCACCTGAGATTATACCTAATTATTTTTAGTTGTATCAAAATTTGTTAACTTTTGATTTAGAAAAATTTTGACTGTCAATAATATTTAAATAATTTTAAGAACCCTTAAAAGCATGTGCATGCTTTTAGGCAAAATACTAAGAAAATGCAGTGAGAAAGAGATAAAGTTCCTTCCTAAATAGTCTAATAATTGGTATTGCATGTCCAATTTAACTGTTTTGAATGAAGGGTTATTTGACTGCAATTCTTCTATTCAAGCTATTTTATTCACTCTCATTATGTTGCTAGGCCAGTGAACATCAGTCCAAAAGTGAAGAGGCAGTAGATGTTGTACCCACAAAAGAAGAAGACTTCCCTTCTGTCCCCCCACCATCAAAAACAGCAACAACTAAGAAGAAACTAAAGGAAGAAAGTTATTCAAAACGGAGAGACAAACAGGCTGCTAAAAGAAAAACTGGTCAGATTTTTTTTTCCGCTACAACTTTTTATTTCTGTATTTTTTTTAAAGGCACATCAAAATGTCACTTTTCGTTGTTTATTTATCTCTTTATTAATTTTTTTTTCCAGTTTTAAAAATTCTTAATATTACAGACTTTTTCTTGAAAAAGTTTCGAATTTTAATTTAAAAATTGCTTCAAAACTCTGTTGATATAAGTATACAGCATTTTTTACTCTATTTATTTAAGACACTAAGTACAAAGCTCAAAAAAAATAAACATATTACCCTTAAAAAAATAAACATATTGCTCATTTGTCCAAAGATAATTCCATGCAAAAAATAAATCTTAGTAAATATTGATTATTTTTTATTTTATTTAATAATAGTCAATGAAATTTTAAATAGTAAGGTATAAAAAAAAAATTTTTTTCATTTTTAAGAATAAAATTTTACGTAGCGAAATACAAAATTTGAGCAAAATGTATTTGAATAGTTCCTGAGAAATGGAATTTTAAATATCTGACTTTTTAGAAATTCAATTTCTCAGGATGCAAAATTTGATGCTATTCAAAATGAAGCAAAAAAACTTTCTACTATTCAAACTTTTTTCAACTATTATTAAATGAAATAATATATATTTAATAAAGGTTATTTTTTGCATGGAATTATCTTTGGATAAATGAATTTCATAATTGTGTGCAAAATTTTTTTAAGTTCTCGAGATGTAACGAAGTAAGCAAAAAGTAAAATTAACATTAAGAGTCCAAACTTTAGAGCACGCTCCTGACCAAACTATCAGGACCATAATTTCCAGATTGCGGCTACTCCCTATATTTTGGAGATCAGAAATCCTAATCCATCAAAAAAAAGGTTATTCAGAGAAAATATGTTTTTTAGTCTGATTTTGTTGCTTAAAATATCATCAGGACTTATTGATTAGCATGTTTAAGATCATCCACTCGAGTCATTAAGATTGAGTCTTAGAATGCGAAGATCCGATAGATCAAAAGTTTTTTTTTCCTCCCACACTGTACAAGCACAATGTATTAAGCTCCGGTATTCATATTTTCAAAATGACGGATTTTTCTGTGATTATGCATGTACTGCTGTTTATCAAAGAATTTCAGCATGAACAATTTTAAGAAATTGTTATCGTGTAAGCTTCCGCTGATTCCTAGTTGTCTACTGATCTTATAATGTATCTTGTTCATTAATTTTGCTGAGAGGACTTATTCTATTCATTCCTGTTAGTAGTTTGTTTAAAATATATAAATTTTGAAAATTAAAGTTTATTTTTTACTTTTAGCTAATGAATCTGCACCAGCACCTAAAGGTAGAAAAAAGATGCCAAAAACAAAGTTTGATGATGATGGTGAAGAAGGTACCTCTCGGCAACCAGGCCGGACATCTTCGAGGACCAATCGACAGACGAGGCAAGGTTTATCCCTTGGTAAGTCTTTACTTTTTTTTCTGGATTATTAGAAGTGAGACTTTTAGTGATGTGTGTGTATATATATAT